GCCCGGCTAGCTCAATCGGTAGAGCGTGAGACTCTTAATCTCAAGGCTGCGGGTTCGAGCCCCGCGTTGGGCTTTCTTTTTTGCTTTTTTTTTTTTACCCCCCTTCTTCCCCCGCGCTTGCCCCAATAGATCTTGAGAGTGACTATTTATTACTTACTAGTTACCTACCTACTACTATTAAATGAGGTGACTGCTTGTAAACGAATTGATCTTCCGTCTTTTTTCAGCGATTGTGGAGGTTTGAGTATGGTTAATAGCTTAATTAACTAGTAAGGTATGTTCGTGTGTAGGAACATAGTATAACATTCTTCTAGGTAAAAGGATCGTTCTTGCTAAGGGACAGACAGTTTACTGGTCTTCAGTTTGCTAGGGGATATCTAGATGCTACATGTCTATGTCAGGAGAATGCTTTCTGCGAGAGGCATCAATCATATCAGTCTATTGCATGCTAAAATAAAGTAGTACACTTGCTAGCCTAGCGATTCATCAATAATTTCCCCCATAGTAGTCCTGACTATGTCCGTTCCCACGTCCATAACTGGAATAAGAACTGTAAGACTGTTCCTCGTAACCTCCAGGCGGGCCCGGAGGAGGAGGGGTGCGACCAGGTGGTGGGTAATGATGGTGGTGACTATGATGATGCTCTCCATGGTGCCTCCGCTGACTTCCATTGTATTCATCATAGCCGCCGTAGCTGTCAAAGCCAGATGGGGGAGGAGGGGCTGGTTGGTATGATTGCTCCTGGCTGTGATGATACTCATTCTGGCTTTGGCTTTGGTACTGGTGCTGGTAGCTGCTGTACTCGTGATGCGAGGACTGGTGATGCGTAGTATATTGAGACTCCACACGAGATTCATACTGAGTTGGGTTCTCGGCATTTTCGCTCTCGCCTCTCGTACCTCCACCTACCATCAGATTGGAGAAAGCGCTGTTCAATTTGTTGAGATTGGAGATCCCCGGGATTGGAAGGCTGGACAGCTTGTCCCAGGGGAGAGGAGACGAGCCTTGCTGCTGCTGAGGCGGACGCTGCTGCTGAGATCCGTGGCTGTGTCCTGCAGCACCAAATCCACCACCACCGTGTGAGTGTGAATGGCCCCCTTCCTCGCCGGTGCTGTTCTTTCCCTGTCTTACTCCCTCAGCGCTGAGAACATCGTTCAGATCAGCACCACGGTCTGGTCTGGAGTCAACCCAGGCCTGCACGGCTTTGAACATTGTGCGGTGAGCTTCGTTGTTCATGTTGCGCAGAGCCGGGTGGTGGAACACCTTCAGACAGTCCTCCAATACCTGATCATCGGAGACGTCCAGGTTCTGCCAAGCGTACAGAACCCGAGGTGCGACGTACTTAAGAATAGCGGAGGCAACGTGACCGGCTGGCTCATTGAGAATGTTAGAGAAGTGGTCCTTGGAGAGTAGCGAATGGGTAGGATCCGTGCAGTTGGGGTCAGTCCACGGCTCATACTGGTGCTTCCCAGAGGCATCAATCACACCGGAAGATCCAGCTTGCAGAGACTTGGAAGCGGCATTGATGAGGGGGCGGATAAACGGTGCCAGCAGAGACATCACGAAGACGGTCAACGTCTCAGTGATCTTCTCAACAATTGCCTCCAAGCCAGGGATCTTCTCGATAATCGATGCGAGCTTGCGGACGACTTTGTCTCTGAATTCAAGAATGGGATAGATCTGGGCAATAGTCTTGCTGGGATCAAAATCCTGTAGAGCCGATCCGGACTGGGAGCTCTCTCCAGGTCTTTCGTTCTCGTTAGCCCTGTAAGTTGGGACCTCATCATCGAATCCTCGACTACGCAGAGCGCTGTAGTCATCCACCTCCCTAGAGACGCCGCGCGTAGTATAACCAGAACGAGCACCATAAGAGCGGTTCGCAGACTCCTGAGCTTCAGAGCGACGCTTGAGCTCCTCCGCCTCCTCCACCAGGTCCTTTGTCCCGGGAATATTGCCCAGAAGACCAGTGAAAGCACCAAGAGACCCGCCAGAGGAGTTTGCCTCGGCATCTCCGAGCGCAATGTCCATCTCGTTGACCTCCGACTGAGTAAAGTGATCGTTTGCTTCTCCCAGCACAGAGTGGAAGAAATCAACCATACCAAACGTTCCAGTCACAAGCGGAAACACATGGTGGCCGCGAATATTCATCTGGGTGTCCACGCCAGTGTGAGGGAAGACATTGCGGAAACCCATCTCACGGAGCGCAAGTTCGATATAGTTGGTATGCGCTGCGAAATCCTCCAACGTATGGAGACCCTGGCCCAGGCACCGAAGCGCTTCGCAGAGATCTTCCTCGTTTCCTTTCTTGCTTCCATGGGTATATGTGCGTCCGTAATGAATGCTGCGAGCCAAGCTATATTTGATGTAAGCGGCGCTGGTAGCCCATCCGCCCTCCTCGTTCGCAATGTAGTTCTTCATTCCAGTTTCGGGGTCGATATCCAGCTCGACCTGGCGGACAGGGCCCCGCAGTCGTTGATCGAACTCGCGAGCATCCTGATTATCGGCATAATCCTTAGGGTTACTGCACAGATAAGATCATAAGCATACATTCAACAAAACATGGAGGATCGGAGAACGACATACTCAATATGCTCCTCAGGACGATAAACGCCCAACCTCTCCGAAGTGACCTCAAACTCAGCCGTCGCATAGCCGAATGTCATGAAGGACAGAATCCAGACCAGAATGCGAATAGTCTCAGCCGGGAGACTCTTCAGCGTACCCACGTCCATAGCTTGTGAGCTAACAGCAAAGTATCAATCAGCATGAATTTCCATACAACAAGGGCGGAAATACTCACTAATCGCGCAACCAGTTACCAAAGTACACGCGCTTGACCATCATGGAGGTCCATTTGTGGCCCTTGATGAAAGCGATGGTCTTGAGCATGTCCTCGATATCTCCATGGCGCCAGTTCTTGCCTTCAACGGCGGAAATAGAAGCGATGTCTGCGCGTGTTAGCAAATCGATGATGTATACCAAATAAAGCAGGTGAAGGCATACTTCCAGCTCCAAAAGCCCAGGCCTGGGTGGGGAGGACAACAAGCAGCAGACCCAGAACGAGCAGGGCGTGAGTGTCCAGACTCATTCGCGGAGCCATAGCTGTAGGTAAAGTTCTGCGGGGTGATGCAGGAGAAAGAATGGACAGGAAAGAGTCTAGAAGAATGACAGGCTGCAGAGGGGGAAGACGTGCATGCAGAAGCGAAGGAGAGGGGGTTAGATAGCAAAAAGAAAAGAAGCCGAGAGTTATCTTATCTGCAGAATCAACAGACAGAAGGAGCTAAGCTGCTACTAGTTGGACAAAAGTCCAAACGGCACGAGAGCGAGGGGTACGTAGTCCGTTAGTAGTGATTTGATGAACTTGTGTGTCATCGATCTGCAACCGGTGACCAAGCTAGAACTAGATTGATACAAAGTACTAAGATCTAAGGAGGAGGAGGAGGAGGAGGAGGGGAAGGAAAGACCCTGAAATGCCCCGCCATCGAGTCAGTAGGAGACCGGATCATTGCGATGATGATATGATTTGGTCGACGGTGGCTTAGAGGCTGTCAGCTCGGCTGTGATTGAGGCCCTGCCACCTTTTCAGATGACACTTGCCAGCTGAAATTTCCCATACGATAAATACAAGCGAGGTGGTTTGTTTTTCTTTTCCGTAATAATGCGGTTTCAGTGGGAGCCATGGGCGTTGTCGGTGGCTTTGCTTGGCATTACTCCATCTGACCATTGTTGATATGGTTTTCTTCAACGGAGATGAAGGTAGATTTTCGTATCTACAATAATCAACACATACAGTAGATACTAAAAACAGCCACAACACTACTACCCCTCCCCAACATACATAAACATACTTATGACTGTATCAGTCTGCACCCTTTCATCCGCTCAGTCACCGCAGTCACCGCTAACAATCGGAACGGGACTGCCAAGTGAAGACTTTCGTCATATGGTCCTTGCTCTGTTGATCGTCATTCTCGGATGTTGGGAAAGTGGGCCCTTTTTACCAGCCACTGGATTGGTTGTCTGATTTGTTTCGGTAGGCGCTGAATGTGTAATTTTCATCAGTCATCGTGACTGAAATGTCCGGAGAGCAATCAATGAAAGCAAATCATTGTGTATGACAATAAATACTGTTTGTTTTAAACAACAAAATATACTAGTATATACAACTTCGTATGCAACTAGATACTAACCACTAGT